GCCTCGGCCTCCCAGAATGCTAGGATTACAGGTGTGAGCCACCGCGCCCGGCCCAAAGCATCTTAATAAATCCTCTGTGGGATGAGATTGACTTGGACGACTCCAGCCATCTCTGGGATTCTTGCCTACATTTGTGCTTGAGAGCATAGGGTCTGGAGCCAACAGCCTGTGTTCAAATGTCTGCTTTTCCACCAACTAGCTATGTGACCATGGGAAGTTATTTTCCTTGCCAAAACAAAATGTTCTGCAATAAGGGAAACTGAGTCCTGTAGAAATGACTTTTTAAAAGGTTGGTGGGTTTTTTTTTTCTTATCTGAAAAATAAAGATAATAATAGTACTAATAGTACCTATCTTTAAGGTGGTAATATGGGTTAAATGAGTTAATTGATATACATACAAAAACTAGCTATTACTATTATGATTCCTCAGTAAAATTTTTTGCATGCCCAGGTATAACTGAGAAAAGTCCCAAAACTGATATGTATTTAAATATACATAAACGAGCATCTAAATTCTTGGGAAAATGTATCTAAGAGAAGATATCTTAGAGCAACTGAACAGCAAAGAAGATAATCTATTTACTTATTTTTATATCTAGGGAAGTATCTCAGAGCTCCCCAAGCTGTGATCTTTAAAACTAGAGATTTCCACAGAATGACAGGGATATCTAAGCAACCAGTACGAGAAAGAAACCATTGCTAATCCTCATATTGTGACTATCACAATGATTAATTCTACTTTAGACTCTGGTCAGTGATATAAAAATTTAAATATAAGCTCTAAATAGTAATTTTGTTTGGACATTGCTATAGGATCTAATTTCTCTTATGTAGAAAATTCAGTGGCAATCAAGCAATCATATAGTATGTTTTCCACACACTATTACATACAAATCTCTTTGGAAATGGGAAGAACTATATAAGACATGAAACTTCTTCCAAGAATTGACAAAGGTGCCTTACGATGTTTTCAAAAGAAATCAAGCCAAGATAGGAAGGACTCAACTCTGAAACACACCCCTTTATAGCCAAATAAAACCGAGACAACGTCACCTGCACACAGCTTTGCTATTACAGAGTATTCTTATCTAACGTTTGCATGGTGCATTATAAGTACCAGAAAATTCTCAAGTCATACCAGAGCTATTAAAGTTTTCCAAACATAGTTTGATTTCTATCTGTATGCTCCCAAATTTAATGGTATCACCTTCTAGTACTTAAATGGCTCTGTAAGACTAATGTGACTTTTTTGCACTTTTGTAGCCATCAGATTTACATGAGTAGTAAGTCACAGGACCAAAATTATTAACATCTAACAAGAACCAGAATACCACAATTACCGTAAGTCATGCTTTTACATAGATATCAAGTTCTCAAAGAACAAAATTCGTAATTATCTAAGACTCACTTGAAGACCAGTGATGTGGACATTCTCAAAAGCCTTTCATTGGAGACAGATGTCACAGCAACAATTCCAAAATGCTTTATCAACTCTGCATCAGTATTATTAATTTTACTCTTAAGATGTTTTATGACCGTGGGTCTTTTCAACACATTATTTAATGAAAATTGCTCCCACTCTACCAGTACCTTGATGTTATTATAAACAAGGAAGTTTCCAACTCCTCATCCCTAACTCCATTTCTTCAGGTAAACAAACATATGACTACACCAAAGAAATAAACAAGAAAAGAAATTTGAGGGAAACATTATAAAATTTCAAATCTATGAGGAAAAAAACAGTGCTTTTTTAAAACAAATACTCTAAGCTAAATCTCACTGAAAGGGAACCACTGGTGTCTCAACATTATATATCACGATAATATCAATAAATATAAAATCGAAGAAAACTTAGTCACTCTCTGTGGCTTACCTCATCATCTTTATACCAAGACAAGCTCTCCGCCGTAAGGACGAACCAGTATCCCTTGGAGCCGCCCTTCATGATGCCGATGTTGCTGATGGTGAGCCAGCCCTTGCGAATCACCTGCGGAAGAGCAGAAAGTGGCAGAGGTGCTCAGCTTATTAACATAAGCCAGTGGAGACAAGAGGTCTTGGACTAAGTGAACTTAAAAACAAGATATTAATTGCAATAAGAACAACATAGTTCCTTTTCCAAGCTCAACTTCATCGAGGTGTTCAAGAGAATTTATCTTCCAAAAGGGCAGGGGACTAGAGGGAAATCTCCCCCGTCAATGAATGAAATCAAAATCTCAGACTCATAAGGATGCTGGAAGCAGGGTGACTGAAACAGACAGGAACGAAATGAGGCAGACTGACAGATTTGTGCCAGGCGAGTTTATGGCGTTGCTGCTGCAATTAAAACATGTTTAGCTGAGTGGATGAACAATAGACTCTCCATGCCCACTGCCTCTTTTCCCCTTCCAACCTACTGGCCCATTTGTGCGTCTGGTTTGCAGCTCATTAGGATTTCCACTAGATACTGGCCAGCAAATTAAAAAGAAGAAACTCAATCCAACCAATTAGCTCCTTGTTAATAGCCCCCAAGTAATGCTGATTGAGGGAGAAAGCTGAAATAATAAACTGAAATGAAAAGTGTGGGTTTTTTTTTAGTACCCTCGACTTATCCATCTAATTCTGGTTGTTATTTGCCATCCTGAAAAAAACATGTAGTATCTTCATAA